CCCCCCCCCCCAAACCCTGTGTCCTGTTCCGTACCTATGGTACTCAAAAACAAATTCAGAATCAGAATTGACAGGTCTGTGTATGTTAGATAATAGTGTAGTTGAACAAACATATTTAATAGTTCTCCCTATAGAAACACGGGGTTTGTGTCTATAATATTTTAAAAATAATAATTTGAAGATTTTGTAAGTGTCTACTTTACAGATTGCGATGGTCGCGTTTTGCATTTTTCTGCTGGTGCGACTAAATTGCTGGTGCAACCACTGCATTGCTAACGAAACAAAAGCGTAACAAAACCGCGCTACTCGTTTGAGCTGCACAGCATGGACCATTTAGCAGCTCGGACCAATAATTGACCTATCCTCTCGAACACAGATAAGCCCCTCCTCTCGAACACAGATAAGCCAATGGCAGTTCAGTATTAGTTGCACGGAGACCGGAACTCTGACATCTGACTCTGACAGCGTCATGGCGAAACATTGGCTTGTTACTTGTAACACAGATTCCAGTTATATTGAGAGGATGGACATTTAAATTTATTTTATTCCATTTCCTAATCCTAAACAAAACAGATCAAAATGTCCCTAAGCATTCAGTCCCAATCCCAATCCCAATGAAGACGAAAATGTTCATTTTCTGGTTGTCATACTCTCATTAAGTTACAATTTTCATCTGCTCAAGCAGAACATTAATGCCATCTTGTGCTTCAGCAAGGTATCGCTGGCTAAAACTAGCTAACAGTAGCGTTAACTAGGGATATCCAGTGAGAAGCGTTTGAACTCGCCGTAGAATGAATACGGCTGCTGCGAGATCTAGTGAGAAACATTCAAATTCTGCACAGAATTCTGTTATGAACAGATCAAACAGTGCTGACAAAGCGGCAACCTTCTGGTCTCTCTCTTGAAACCAACACGAAAGTGATTTAAAGGTGCCATAGAATGCATTAATACAATTAAATTATTTAGATAAAACCAGATCAAAACATGGGGCATTTATACTTATAAGCGCCAGCGCGGGTCAAATTTACCCGCTATATAATGCCTATAATGCTCGTCATTTTCGTGTCACTTATGTTTTAACATAGTACATTGCTAGGCAACGCCTTTCACTCACTGAATTAGCGGTTATCAGTTTCATAAATAAAGACAAAATGAGTAAAAGGCGGCGCAGTTTGCATTCAGTGGATACTCTCCAAAATGGCGCTACGGTGACGCGGAGGAGACAAATTGTTGAATAAAGTTGTTATTTTTGTTTTCTTTGAGTTCAAAAAGTATTCTCGTCGCTTCATAAAATTCACATTGAACCACTGATGGCAGACTACTGTTTTGACGATGTCCTTCATACTTTTCTGGGCCTTGACAGTGTTATTTACTTAGCAGTCAATGGGACAGTCACAAGCCTCCCGGTTTTCATCCAAAATATCTTAAATTGTGTTCCGAAGACGAACAAAGCTTTTATGGGTTTGAAACGACATGGGGTTAAATGATTAATGACAAAATTTTCATTTTGGGGAGGAGTAACCCTTTAAAGTAAATTTTGCATGCTTCCCAACTCAAGCTCAGTGCTTTACTGTCAAATGTGTATTACCAAGAAATAAACATGTAATATTATTAGTAACTGCACTTATTAATGCAGAACAGTAGTAATTTTATGATTAAATTATCTTTATTTTTCATACCCCACACACCAGCCCCCCAGCGCTACCAAATCTGCTTCTGGTGCCACCATACGTAGAACTTAGTGGCGCTGCTCTCAAATGTTAGTCTGGAGCCCTGCACTGTTACATCAGAGTTCACTTTTATGTTCACATTTCTCAGCTTTTTACAAGTTACTGAAAATGAACCATTTTTACTTTTATTTCAGAGTTGATTGAAGAAAAAGAGGAGAATAAAGAATCAAGTGAAGTTGAGGAGACCAATCATGTCAAAACTGGAGAAAAACGTTTGAGTTGCTCTCAAAGCAAACAGGATTTAAAGAAAACAAGAGCCAATAAATCTTTCACCTGCACTCAGTGTGGAAAGAGTTTCACACAAAAATATGGTCTTGAGCGTCACATGAGAATTCATACTGGAGAGAAACCATTCACTTGTGATCAGTGTGGGAAGAGTTTCACACAATCAGCAACCCTTAAGGTACACATGAACATCCACACTAGAGAGAAGCAGCACACGTGTGATCAATGCAGTAAAATGTATTTATGGGCTTCAGTTCTGAAGAAACACTTGAAAGTTCATACAAAGAAGAAGCCACATTCATGTAATTTGTGTGGTAATCTTTTTTTGCGTCCACAAAATTTGAAAGAACATCAGAAAATACATACTGCTGTGGGAGAGTACATGTGCTTTGAGTGTGGAAAGACTTTTACTTCAGCGAGCAGTTTAAAACTGCATGAGAGGATTCACACTGGAGAAAAACCTTATAAGTGTTCACACTGTGACAAGAGATTCAGTCAGTCAATACATCGGAAAACACATGAGAGGATCCACACTGGAGAGAATCACAAGCCTCCCGGTTTTCATCCAAAATATCTTAAATTGTGTTCCGAAGACGAACAAAGCTTTTATGGGTTTGAAACGACATGGGGTTAAATGATTAATGACAAAATTTTCATTTTGGGGAGGAGTAACCCTTTAAAGTAAATTTTGCATGCTTCCCAACTCAAGCTCAGTGCTTTACTGTCAAATGTGTATTACCAAGAAATAAACATGTAATATTATTAGTAACTGCACTTATTAATGCAGAACAGTAGTAATTTTATGATTAAATTATCTTTATTTTTCATACCCCACACACCAGCCCCCCAGCGCTACCAAATCTGCTTCTGGTGCCACCATACGTAGAACTTAGTGGCGCTGCTCTCAAATGTTAGTCTGGAGCCCTGCACTGTTACATCAGAGTTCACTTTTATGTTCACATTTCTCAGCTTTTTACAAGTTACTGAAAATGAACCATTTTTACTTTTATTTCAGAGTTGATTGAAGAAAAAGAGGAGAATAAAGAATCAAGTGAAGTTGAGGAGACCAATCATGTCAAAACTGGAGAAAAACGTTTGAGTTGCTCTCAAAGCAAACAGGATTTAAAGAAAACAAGAGCCAATAAATCTTTCACCTGCACTCAGTGTGGAAAGAGTTTCACACAAAAATATGGTCTTGAGCGTCACATGAGAATTCATACTGGAGAGAAACCATTCACTTGTGATCAGTGTGGGAAGAGTTTCACACAATCAGCAACCCTTAAGGTACACATGAACATCCACACTAGAGAGAAGCAGCACACGTGTGATCAATGCAGTAAAATGTATTTATGGGCTTCAGTTCTGAAGAAACACTTGAAAGTTCATACAAAGAAGAAGCCACATTCATGTAATTTGTGTGGTAATCTTTTTTTGCGTCCACAAAATTTGAAAGAACATCAGAAAATACATACTGCTGTGGGAGAGTACATGTGCTTTGAGTGTGGAAAGACTTTTACTTCAGCGAGCAGTTTAAAACTGCATGAGAGGATTCACACTGGAGAAAAACCTTATAAGTGTTCACACTGTGACAAGAGATTCAGTCAGTCAATACATCGGAAAACACATGAGAGGATCCACACTGGAGAGAAACCTTATAAGTGTTCACACTGTAACAAGAGATTCAATCATTCAACACATCTGAAAACACATGAGATGATCCACACTGGAGAGAAACCTTATAAGTGTTCACACTGCAATAAGAGATTCAATAAGTCAGGAGACCTGAAAACACATGAGAGGCTCCACACTGGAGAGAAACCTTATAAATGTTCTCACTGTGACAAGAGATTCAATCAGTCACCAAATCTGAAAACACACGAGAGGATCCACACTGGAGAGAAACCTTATAAATGTTCACACTGTGACAAGAGATTCAATCAGTCAACACATCTGAAAACACATGAGAGGCTCCACACTGGAGAGAAACCTTATAAATGTTCACACTGTGACAAGAGATTCAATCAGTCAACACATCTGAAAACACATGAGAGGATTCACACTGGGGAGAAACCGTATCACTGCACTGCACGTGGGAAGAGTTTCATGCAATCATCTGCTTTACACAGTCATACAAAAAAACAATAACAGTAAGGCCCCATCCACACGGAGACACATTTAGCTTTATACATAAATATTTTGTATCGTAATGCCATTTTTCCAGACGGATCCAGTGTTTTAGGAGCCTGAAACCACTATTTTTTGAAACTGGGTCCCAGAGTGGATAAATCTGAAAATTACATCTTTGTGTTTTGTGTGTACGGCCAATCTGTATATTTTGTGAAACTGATGTCATCACCTGACGTCTCGACCCTAGTCAGACACCGCTACATCACGTAACAACAACAACAGCGGTGGACTGGACTACATGCTTGTGTTTGTGCTGCAGAAGCTACTGAGCCTATTAGCTTTACTAACTTTACTAGCTTTTTTGTTGTTGTGTTGGGTTTGTATACAGCGCACAAGGTTTATAAACATGATCCAAGTCGTCTTCTCCATTTTTAGTGTATCTCTGTGGCAGAATTACAGCGTCACATACTGGTCTGGCGTGTATACTACATCATTTTGAGTCGGTTTCAGTGGTTTCTTGTGTACGCAGATGTTTCTTGAGACAACGCCATGTTTACGAAAGAACAAGAAAAAAGGAAAAAAAAAAGATTGGACAGGGAAAGCTCTGGCTTTTTGTGGATGAGCCCTAAGTAGATCATCTTCAGATCCAGCACTTTCAGGTCTGATGCTGCCTCCTCACCAAATTTGAAACAATAATGCATCAAGTAATAAAATATCATCTGGATAATTCTGTTCTAACCAGTCATTACAAGTGACATGATAAATAAACATTATCTAAAGTTTTCACAGTGAATAAAGTTCATATTTTTTCTTCAAAACCAGCTGTTTGAACTGTGAGATTCAGATCAACTCAAAGATGGCGTTTCTCCCCAAAGAACAATGTCAAGGCAGGGTCCCGTCGCTAGTGGGGTGAAAGGTGGTGATGATTATAGGGGCCCCCCGGCGATCTCAACTGACTGGCTGATGCCAGCCTAAAAAGACGCTCAGGACAGTTGATGGGCCACTGCTGCGCATCATCATGAAAGCTTATCATTTGCACGTGTTTTTAAGCCTTGCCAATTTAAACATTCAAAAGAGTTTAAAGCATTCAAACACAAGATGTGGAAAAACTCAACTGAGTACTCGCACACTGTGTTCGGTGGGCACGCAGAGAGCCGTCTAATGGATAGCAACACCGAACCGAGCTCTCCTTCTCATCTTCCTGCATCTGAACGAACAAATACAAATCGCAGTTTAAACATGCAAACAGAAAAAGATGTGAAAGAGCCCAATTCAGCACCCGCGCGCGGTGTTCTGTGCGCACAGGGCGCACGCAGAGAGACGTGTTTCAAAGCGCTTGAACACTGAATTTGCCTCTTGTTGCTCTTGTACTGACAAATAAATACAAAATTATGTCAAAATACCCGTCTTGGAGAAAAACGCAGTTTAAACATGCAAACAGAAAAAGATGTGAAAGAGCCCAATTTAGCACCTGCGTGCGGTGTTCTGTGCGCACAGGGCGCATGCAGAGAGACGTGTCTCAATGCGCTTGAACAACAAAATTAGCCTCTTCTTGCTCTTGTACCGACAAATACATAAAAAATGATTTCAAAGTACCTGTCTTGGAGAGTATCCTCGAAAAAACTGTCAGTTATGTCTTAAGTGAAAGTAAACAGTGGAGAAAGAAATTGGATGTGTATAATTATAATGGATGCATTGTCTCTTAAAGTGACCAGGCCTAATTTACTAGCTGCTGTAATGTTAATTCAAGAAAATGAATTAAAGAAAATCACTCACTGCTCTTGACGGAATTACTTTGTAGTTTTAACAAGAATTGATCCACAGTCAAACCAAAAATTATTCAGACACCAGAAATAATTTTTTATATTTTTTTACTAGTGGGTGCAGGACACTATAGTTCATTTATATAAGCGAGGATAGCGAAATAAAGTAAACTGTGACATATTATACCCAACAATTCTTCATACAGTGGACTACCAGTAAAATTGATAAAACATTTGGGACCAAAAATTATTCTGACACTTTGACCTGAACATGTTTTCTTAAGTGTTTTTTTTTTTTTTAAATTGCTAATGCAAGCTTTTTACACCACAGACTGAACAAAATGAAGCATTGCTTGGTAATTGGTCAAAGTATTGATAGTTATGTAAATATTGTCATACTAACACTTGTCTGATTTTTTTGTTTGATTGTAATCCATTACGTACCTTTCTATCAAAGTTATTTGACATTATCAAGATTAATTTGTTCTGACAGATTAGTTCTTGTTATATTTTATTACCATTTTCTAAACTATAGCAAATAAACTGTGATAATGTGAGAAATGTTGAAGGTGTCTGAATAAATTTTGGTTTGACTGTATATTTAATTTTTACAGTGAAGACTATGCAGTGCTATTTTACATTTGATTATTCGGTTTCTGTACCTGGACACCTACAAACTTGAAAAAACACTTAAACATTGTGGGGCTTCGCAAACCCCAGCTACGGCCCTGGGTGACGGTATAATGCTTCTAGGTCTTTTACTTGCGCTTCTGCAAAGTTCACTTAATTTATCAGGATATAAGGATTTCAATTTTAATCTAGCTCCGTGTTTAATCTGACTCCAATTTCAAATGTTCAGTAAATTGTGACACTAGATTAAACTGACCTTTTTAGTAGCCTAATGTTGAGAGTTCTTTACTCACTTTCTGTACACAGTTTATTCCATGATTTTTTTTATTATTTTATTTTACAAGATAACTTGCGAAGTCTTGATTTACTACTAATGTGTAAAAAAAAACAAAAACTGTTTTGTCTGTGTAGCCTATAAGAATAGGCGTATGTCGTGCAATAATGGTTTTAATATATTCTATTCAGTAACATTGTTAACTGTTTTTATTTATAACATCTGCTGCTTTGCTTCTGTGAAAATGAATAGAGACATCATCCTTAAACTTTGTTTTTGCCATTTACATCAGTTGATACTGTAAACTATGGCAACAGTTTGGATGACAATTACTGTATTGAAACGCAGAAGGCTGCACTTGTATGCCATATATCCATTTTTTTTTTAAATACACATTACTGTATGTGGGACATTGATTGAAAGAGACTGGATAGGATTCACAATTACACTTTTACTAGTGGTCTGACAAAAAAAATAACACTTATACAGTTTTTCTCAATTGCTTTGGCTCAATTCTTATTGACTCTTCTCAACAAATATCAGATTTTTTATAAAACCTTCATTTCCATGGTTGACTGTCATGGTGAAAAAACCAGTGTGGCTCACACGATGACAAAAATACTTTATATTTTGGTGGCCTTGGCCAAATTACTGACAAGATAACTAGGTTTTGAAGCATGAATGAAATGTTTTGGGTGAGTAACTACATTTTGCAGACATGCAATAAAGTTCTGAAGTTCCAGCAAACAGTTGTGACATTTGCACTCACAGTTTAGAGAATGTTAAGATTGTTTCGAAAAATGTGCCAAAGCAATTGAGAAAAACTGTAATGTCATTGTGATATAAAAAAGAAATATGGGCACAAAGGCGAAAATACAAAATTAGAAAGTCCATTGTCAGAATTTGTAACTCTTTGTAAGAATTGTAAGAATTTGTATATGCTTTCCAATTGAAGGTTCATGAGATGCATCTTTGAGCTATTTCAGATAACTGGTTTATCATTGGTTGATCTACATTCTCTTCATTACCGAAAGTCAAGATTCCCTTCCACAATTCATAGCAAATTTACAAAAACTCTCATAGAAATGTGTAGAAAATTTGACCGTTTAGATCAACCATTTTGCATTTAATGACTTATACGATGAACTAATGACTAGATGTTTTGAGGGGTAAGACTATTGCACAGAGAACTATATCATACATTTTGAGCAACATGACTTTAGCAACGGATAATGTAGGAAACCGCAGACAAATGTATATAATCAATTGCATGAATCTACCAAAGCAATCACAACTTGTTCAAAAGAATGAGAAACTGCTTTTATGATGTGCACAGGTGACTAGATAATGTGGAGGTTAAACAAGTAGTTTTGAGAATTTAATTTCTGATCTGAGAAATGTGCCATCAAAGCGACTGAGAAAAACTGTAACTCTTGTTCTTTTGGTGCTGGGGAAATTAAAGTATCATGAAACCCTAAGACACATTTTTTTAAATGTTAACATATATGTACAGGTTGCACATCAGTGAAAACAATAATAGCACTCATTATGTCTATTATTAAGGGAAAAGTGGTTATTTTTTTATTATATATTTTTTTGGAGCCATTTTGTTCTTCTGGTTCAAAAAGCAGAGTTGAACCAACGTCATGAAAAGTGACTTTATGCGTTAAACACGACTGTAACAATGGCTGCATCCAAATTGGCATACTTCCCTACTATATAGTAGGCAAAAAACAGTAGGCGAGCGAATGAGTATGTTTGAATCCTCAGTATTCATAAAAGAGTAGGCGAAAATTGCACTAATTCTCGCGAGATTCGGACGTAGGTATACTTAATTTGCGTTCTAATATGCCTACTTACCCACTATATAGTAGGAAGAAAAAGAGTATGTGAAGAAAGAAGTATGTTTGAAACCTCAGTATTCATAAAACAGTAGGCGAGAAATCCCCGAATGTCCTACTGCTTTAGCCCAGATTCTGAAGTGTTCAGTGATACACTCTTTTCTATCCCAGAAGCCCATGGTAGAGGATACGTCATCATCGAACGTGATGGAGAACAGCGACGCAGGTGTTTATAAATGTGAGTATTATAAACCCAAAACACGGTTCCTTGTGTTAAAATCACATTTGTTGAGCTACTGTATAGAAAATGATTACATTATGAACATTTTATTACAATAATAATGTAATTCTTCTTACATTATGTACAGTTTTTACATTATGTGCAGTTATTACATTATGAGTTGCTACACACGTACATCTCGAAAGTGCATTTACATAAACCATACACATCTTAAAGACAATTACTAAATGTCTATTTAATATGAGACAGGAACCTGTTCTAAAAGAATTGCAGATGAGCACATCACAACATGAGCAGACATCTGAGTGAGTGATGTATGTGTGCTATTATGTAGAATTCACTGTTGTCAACACTGCTTTAGATGAATGTAAGTAATGTTAATAAACAAATCTCCATGGAGTAACTAAACATGTTATCTATTTCATTTGTCCATTATTATTGTTGACAAATTGAGGAACATTATGTGTTGGATAAAAAGTGAGTAAGCAACTACCTTAACATGTAATTGTAGTATTGAGCAGATAAATCACAGAGGAAACTTGAATCTTGTCTAGATGTTACAGGGACAGATGAGACACGTGAGTAAGCAACTACCTTAACATGTAATTGTAGTATTGAGCAGATAAATCACAGAGGAAACTTGAACCTTGTCTGGATGTTACAGGGACAGATGAGACACGCGTGTTAATCTGGTGCAGAGTGACTGATGAAGTGAAGCCCTCTTCACCAGAAAACGGAATGCTGCCATTCAAAGGCTTGAGTGAGTATACTACAGAAATGAATAAAACATCTTTTAAATCTTAAGTTGTAGTTTATTTTAATTGTTGTAATTTCAAACAGAGCTATTGCAGCGCTTTTCTGATTCTTGATTGCTGTACATTTGATACAGAGCTTTTGTGGTGGAGCAGGTGATGGTGGCATTTGTGGGGGAAAAAACAACAACAACACGGGAAAACCTGAATCAAAAATATAAAGTAAGATCATTTTGTTATTTCTAATACAGAAATCAAATGACATTGTGCTATTAAAATGTCTGCTTTTGTATTGTGTTTGTGCATCTTTGTGGG